AAACAAAAGCTTAAAATAGAAGGATTATTTTACATATTCATACAGAAGGATTCCTTTACATAATCATAGCGAATTGTACAGATGTTGAGCGTAAAATCAAGGCATATAAGAAACCAAACTGAATCAATACTGTTCGAAAGACAATCCATGAACAACAACATATTAAAAACTCTAAAATTAGCGTTCTAATTAATCCTGAATTACCTCATTCGAAGTCTCAATAAGAACATTTCTTATTCCCACATCGAAATTTCGAGAAGAATCTGCGTTAGACGATAGAGAAATTGTTGAAGCTGGACGATCCTTCAAATTAAAAATATATTGCTCTCCAAACTATAGCATCTTTAATAAAAGCACTATGAAAAATGAATGTACTCGGTTAAATGACTAACAAAGGGTTCAGCTTTCCAACGATGATGAACAATCCAGCCTTTACCGAGAAGACTGTTTCCTTCATTGTAATCCTCTGATATATACAGATCGTCCTGCATCGACACTGAGCGTTCCTAGAACAGAATTTTAAATCTTTAAAGTAGAAAAAAATGAAGCTGGACATAAAAAATCCAAAATAATTGAACAGAACCAGTTCCATATCTGACGATTTCTTTGATGTGCTTCTAATTTTGCCTCCTAATTCAGTGAAAGACTGCTGATTTTCAACTGAGATCATCGGACAAAGACTATACAGAAGGTTGTATGAGTCGTCTTGCGTAGAATATTTTGGGTTGATATCATCAGCTTCACCTGAAATTAAAGCAAGGTAAACAATCCCTCAACGACCTGGAAGAAAAATAAGAAAACTGAATGCATACACTAACAATATCTCATATCTTTATAGTTTTCATAACTGTCAAAGTGCTTAACAGGCTAAGAGCATAAAAATTTCTATATTCAACTCGCTGGTAGTAGTATTTGATTATACAGACTGAAAATGGATTATCTTTTTAACTTATTTCAAAATACTAAGATATATTTCCAAATGTCCCGACTTTGTATTATGAGGGTTGTCTAGATCGATCTATAGTTTAATTATTTGCAGATACTATAGTTCAATAATTATAGAAATAATAAAAGAAAAACATCAGATATGATACATGAGTCGATCCAGTTTTTGGAGTCATTTTGTGAACTTTCTGGCGTTTTATGGACTGTGAACTCACTGTTGATTGATAATTCATTGTCCGATCCAAACAATTTATGCTCTTTCATATCTACCACTTTTTCCTCACTATAATACACGTTTAATGTAGAAAAGATTAAATGAAAACTAAACGCAAAACATTAAGAGCAGAATATTACTGAGTTTTTTCTCCAGTGATCTGATTGTGGTTTTCGCTATTTTCGTTATTCAGTGCGCAGACCGAAAATGATATTTGTGGCTCACCACTATGAAGTTCTCTGAGATTTTCCATTTCTTTTGCAACCATTTCTACCTCGAAAAAAAATTCAGTAGTTTGACCTATTTCTTTTATTTCTTCTTAATTAATCAACACATAATTAGTTTCAATCATGGGTACATTTTGCACTCAAAAAAACCCGACCTTTTTACTTATCATTATAGCAAAATTTTTTAACAATTTATTAAACCTACATCATGTGACTCGCTAATCACAGCTGGTACGGACTCGTTTCTGGAACTTGCTGAACTGCCAGCAGTGCTACTCTTCGATGAACGTCTAGTACGGCGGCAGGTGCCTCTGATTACCCGTATCTAGAATGAAGAACTGCTATCTCCTATGAAATATAAGGATTTAGTAATATGCATAAATCGACAGGAACATGTTAAATCAATGAAATGGAATATCATCATCTACAAACAAAGTTTCTAAGCAAAATTGAAGCACGATGCTTGTTAGGACGTTTTCTAAAGTGATCTAAGCCAGACATACCACCAGAAAATTACTAGCCAGACCTCATACGGGTCGTAACTTAGGATGCTGTCTTCCGGAACTGGGTTTGAAAGTACTGTACTGTTTGTTGCATTCAGAGCTGGGAGATAAATATTTTCTCCATCAAGCAATGATGGATGCGAATAAACGGATGCTACATCATCTTCTCGCCCAGCTACTAAAAAAACATTGACAGCGACAATGAGCAAAAAAGAAAGACAGAAAACACAAGCTACAAACAAAATATCCACGGAAAAAACCAAAAAAAACTATTTAGTGAGTATGAACTAACTATCAGAATCTTCTGCGCACGAAGAAGAAGATAATCCTGTAAAGCCACATAAGGACTGTAGTGCATTTTCAGCAAGCTCCGTATCCTCGAGTGTGCTCAACGAAGCACCACGACGATAACGACACTTTACTGACTGTTTTACTAAAATAAAAGGTTATCTTCGTGGATATTATAAGCTTTGAAATAATGAACGGGACGTCAGAAAGTTCGAAAGTTGTTCGAATATGAGTAACTGCTCCAAAATCAAATTATGAATCAAAAGAGTTTACTAAATCAGAATTTAACTCACATTTTGCAGGTTCTCCTGCTATCAAACCAGAAAGTATCAGTGGTGTGGGAGTCCAAGTGTTAAGAGAGAAACTATTAACGGGTGCTTCGACAATCAATCCTGTTACTCCCTTCATATAATCTGATAGCACATTCATGTGTTCCGTATCTCTCAAAAAAGCCCATTTCTCGTAAAACTTACTGAAAAATTCGAACTATGGTGAAAAATTATAGCTTATAGAATTAAACGAGGCCTCAAATTAATCACGTCCAAGTAAAAGAAAGTTTCATCTTTTGTCTTAGGAACTGATTTATCTTAATTCACTTCCATCGACTAACCTTAAAGTGACAGTATTACGTGATAGCAAGTTCAAGTAATTTTCCATGGTGTTATCATTCAGCAATATCCTGACCCATGCCTGTAAAAACATAAAATCACCCATTCACGTCACGATAATGCGATGTAAGCTTACAATAAATAGCATTTAAGAACAATTCCTTCCACCTAAACAATAGAAGAAAGCAATTTACCCGTGATTTTCCTATTTCCGTCTTTATTTGATTTGATGCTGCTATCTGATCCAATACTGCTCTATGCGTATATTTGCTAACAAATGGCCAGAAATTCTGAAAATATTTTCATTAAATAAGGTCCTATGATCAGGAAAAAGATATATTTCTAAAATGTCCGCAAAATCCTCACCGGTTCAGGATACCTTGAGCTTCGTGGTTTCTTCTGGAAGAAGGCTGTCTTCAAGCCATGAATGAACAACGCTTCAACCGCATTACACAATATTTGAGTAGACTCTCTGAAAATCAAAGCTACTTCACATATACAAAAAACAGCTCCTCAATGAAATCATGGCTTTACGTCACCGATTCGATGACACGTGTTTCTCTAACAGAGAGGGATGTGGATGGATCAAAGTCGACGAAAAAATTACTTGGAGAGTGCATCGCCGGATGGATATTCAGATGCTGCTTGTTTAAGTACATTTGCCAGTTCGGTCATAAGTTTTACTTTTATTTCATTCTGTTCCATTTCTTCCTTCTCGAATGAATCATATCAAATCACATCATATTGTGCATAAGCCAGCCATATGTTCTTTTGACTGAATCTATAAATTTTAATTATTTTAGCTATTTCTCCCAACTGATACTTAGAAGTTGATAGAATGACAAATGAAAGAGTGATGTAATTTAGGTGGGAGAGGAAATTTTCAATTATTTCCAGGTGAACTTGAACCGAAACATACCTATCTGACCTATCACTTACAAACAAAATCCTTCTGAAAATAAACGCCTCAAGTCCGAGTGTCATAACGCTACCGCTGAGGTGTGGCACAGACCAGAACTATATTGATAACTCGACGGTGCATGCTAAAGGTCGGGGTGGAATTCTCGTTCTTTTCATCAGTCTTGAAGTGTATTGATTTTTTTAGTAAAGCTATTTTCATTAATCGATAAAATTTCCGTTTGAATTATGTTTGAATTACCATAAGGTCTAGTAAGTATAAAATTATGTAATGGCTGAAGGGATGAAGAGGAATTAAAGATGAGCATCTCTTTGTTGATACAAATTACTCGATGACCACTACCGCTATCGTGTGTTATAGTTATCAAAAATTGTCAGAAATTAGTTCGCTCCAGCTTCATTGCCATTCACTATGAAATTACTACTCAAAAGCAAAAATCTCTAAAATATAAACAATGAAATGATATTTAAAGTACTCCGCCGCGCAATTAAAGGTTCAAAATCATACACTTTTAACACGAAAACGAAATACCTGTTCCTTGCGCAAATATAGAAATTTGGCAAACTCTGTAGGAAAGAGGAGAATTGAAAAATACTAAAGTCTTGAAACTAACTCCACATATCAACTAATCCTTAACTTCTTTCTCGTGTGTTGATCTGAGTCTCTCTGTGACAAACAGAGAAATCTTTCGCGCTGTCTCTTTGCTATGTTGATTCTGCAGTAAGAGGAACTTTCTTCCTGTTTCGTTCATTAATCTTCAAAATGTGGCTAAATTCTGTGGAGGTCGATTTTAGCAGGATGAATTGTAAACTTTGGGTAAAACATTCATAGTCTGGCGAGTTTTCATGAGATGATATTGAGCAACTTAGTGGAAGGATTTTTTTTATAGATAGAAGAGCTAGGCTTGGTTGAATTTTGAGTTGTTTGCTAAGCGAGCATTTGTGAAGATTATTTTATTGTTGTATGTGTATAATTCACGGGTATGAATGCTTTTTTTTTCATAGCAGCAAGATGACGTTTTCAATTAATGATTCAGCAGATGGACAGAGTGACGGCAAAAGTGTTTGTTATTTTTCTGCCATGACTGTTTTGTTTCATGTGAAATTCATAAGAAATGACATTAAAATGTTTGTGTAACTGAGTAATAAATTTATGCGCATGAGATGTCTTTGTAAAAATATCAAGAATTAATTTAATATTAATAAGTGAATTATTAAATAGTTTATATTGCTGTCAACGTGGTATCCTTTCACCATTCCTTATCACGTATCATCAAATGATTAATTTTTTTTAGCGATGAGTGTGTTTGGGAAGATATTTGGCAGCGGTAGAAAACAGCAGGCACCATCAGCGACTCCACAGGAATCTATACAAAAATTGCGGGAAACCGAAGAAATGCTGGTGAAGAAGCAAGAGTTTTTAGAGAAGAAAATAGAAGCTGTAAGTTTTTCAGTTTTATGTTGGAAGTTCTTGTTGACTTTTTTATGAGAGGTTGTCAGTGAGATCGGTAAATGCCATTATATTTGAAACCGAATGATACGAGATACTCTTAGAGAACGCTGAATATTATTTTGTCTTCAGAAAGATAGAGCTTCTGGTAAGATTAAGTTTTGCAAAAGTTCAAGGAAAGAACTTCTTAAATGTTAAAGCTAGAGCTAGGTTCGGAATGCGTGACGAAGCATTTATATTGCGATATAGAATTATTTCAGGAAGTTGCATCGGCAAGAAAACATGGAACGAAAAACAAACGATTGGCTTTGCATGCGTTGAAACGGAAGAAACAATTTGAGAAACAGTTACAACACATTGATGGTGTTTTATCAACGATTGAATTCCAGCGAGAAGCTTTAGAAAATGCATCAACAAATGCTGAAGTGTTACAAGTAATGGGTTCTGCAGCGAAGGCGCTTAAAACAGCACATAACGATATGGATGTAGATCAGGCAAGTGACAAGTGATATATTGTTTCTATAAATGATTTTTGATCGCAGAAAAGTCTTCCTGTTTTCAGGTTTCTAATGAAGTGTAAAATCGTGTTATGTGAAATAGTGAAAGGATATAGATACATAAAGAAATATAAATACAAAGGATAATGTGACTATCGTTGTCATTCTTAAATTTTGTCTTTCGGGTGCGTGTTGAAATGTAAGGCTCTAGGAATAGCAAACATGACATTTGCAAAAAAAGATTTTAGCCAATTATGGAAAAGTAAAATTTGTTAACAGGTACACGACTTAATGGAGGATATTGCGGAACAGCAAGAGGTTGCTAATGAAATTGCTGAAGCAATTAGTAATCCAGTTGGTTTTGGTCAAGATGTGGATGAAGATGAATTGCTGAAAGAACTGGAAGAACTGGAGCAGGTTCGCCTTGAATTGTGTTCTCCCATTAACTTTCTTCATTTAGGCAAAATTTTTACCCAATCGGAAAAGTTGACTAAAATATTTTATAATTGACTTTTTATGCATTTAATGGGTGACTTCTGATAAACAGTGAAATTTGCTTACAGGAAGAGCTTGATAAGCAGCTTCTAGATGTTGGACCGACACCGGCATCTGTATCAGTTTTGCCTGAAGCACCAACAGCTAAACTTCCAGTCTCTGAAAAGAAGACTGCTACCAAAAAACAACAAGAGGATGATGACTTAGCCGAACTAGAAGCTTGGGCAAACGCTTGATTAACTGACGACTAATTAATTGTACTTTCTGTTTTGTTATTTTCCAGTTTTTCACGTTATCATCATCACCAGCATCTGCTTCTCCGGTCACTGTAATCGTAGTTCCAAATTTATTGTTATTTATGTTGCTGAATCATAATTATTTAATTCTAAATGAAGTTCTTATAAATACATGTAGCTTGAACCGTTATAGTTATTTCTATTTTTTCGGATTTTTTTTGGTGGCTGTTCTAGCAGACATGCACTTTGTCATGTTATCATTGCCACGATTATATCCATTAACATTAAGATAACATTAACTCTGAGTCATATAGCTTGTAAATACATTGTAAAATAAAGCAGTTTTATCTTGAATAATTATCTATTCTGATAACGTAGATTTTATAAGGTTAGATTCTTGACGCTTCCTCGTTGGAGTAAAACAAACGAAATCTATCTTAATATCGCAGAATAAGGGGTATTACATAGAGAATGATATACAAAGCTTCAATATTTGTTTTTTTTTTCCACTACGGCTAAAATGCAATGATAGTGACATTTTTTTCAGTGAAGAATAAGTGTATTTTTTTCTTCATCTCACATTTTTTGAAAATAAAATCATTTTATGGTTAACTGTGCATTTGCATTGCATTATATGCAACAGATAAATTACTGAATTTTTCATTTTTTATGACACAAAATGAATTACTATCGCTACGTGCCGTATTAGCATAACCATCTTCATTCTTAAAAGTTTCGTAAGAAATTTGCAGGCAAGAACATGACTTATTTCATAGTTTCTTTTCAAAATTCGAAGTCACTGATTATACATTAATATTCATGTTCTAGAGTATTTCGCAGTCACTCCTGAACTATAACATCCAAGTAAATTCATTGTAGTTTTTTCTTTCAAAACGGGATCCTACGATGAATGGGTGGACTACTTTATTACAAATAAAATGTAAAAGGTCAATAATATGTAAAAGAATTGTTATACATTCTTTTCCTGCAAATCACTTTTAAAGAAAAAGAAAAGATAGAGAGAATAAGAATAATGGATAGGAAGATGTTCGATAATTTTATGGAATGAGTTTTTTGCTAATGTTTCATAATGTTCTCTCATTTTTAAAATTATGCTATAATTTATTGTTATTATTATCAGAAATTAGGATTAAATATCTATTTTATAGGCAGCTAGAAATTTCCGTGAAATGAAATTTTTATTTCATTTTTTAAAGATAGCATGTTAGCACTGTAGTCAATTATCATTGCCAGAAATTAGCTTTAATGTGTATTTTAGAGGCAGGGCAATTTTTGGAGGGAAAACTTTGTTCGACTACGAATGAACTAATTTCACTTATAGAACGTTAACTCTTGCGAAAGTAATCTTTTCTCAAATTTATTCAAAATTTTAGTTACGGACGCATTTTCTTACTCATAGACTTCAAAAAAAAAACAGAAACGTTTTTCTAATTCCCAGAAATAAAATTTCTCGAAAACAATTCGAGAAAAAATTACTTTCGCAAAAGTATGCAATTGCCTTTATCTCCTTAGTACCAAAGAGCTTCACCAAGTGCTGAGTGCAATTCACAAACAAACTGAAATTGTGTAGAAAATTGTGTTCATCTAAAAATTGGATCCATAATACACGTAAAATTTATATTTATGTTTTATCTAAGAAATTTTCGAATTTTAATACTAATTTAATCAAAAAAAGCAGACATTTTTTTGTCTTTCCCAAATTACTCAAATTATATGTGCATATTTATCGAATAAAATTAGGACGCGAATATATAAATGAAATTAAAAAATTAAACTAAATTGAATAACTTGTAACTTTCTTTCATTGGTTGACAAAACTTTGAAGCATACAAAAACTGACTATTTCCGGCATTATTTGTATCATTGCCATAATCGCTCTGTTAATTGGTACCGTACTAAATAATTATACTATCTCGCATATAAAAGGTTTTTCGAACAGAAGGAAAAATTCGAATGATGTTTTTGTCAATAAAAATAACGTTCTGCAAATTAATGAAGTAAAGCAAGCAAATGTATAGTGCACATCGGCAAAGACTTAAATGCCGTAATGCATTTTGGATTTTTCATCTGTCTACTTCGATTTTACAACTTATCACTATGAATATTTCCATTTGCTGATCTTTCTTTTCACTTACATATTCCTTCCGGAAGACCCTTTTGCTTCCTCCCAGGCAAATTCATTTTCAAACATTTCCACTTCACTTACACAAATACCGAACAAAAAAGAGTTTTAGATTCTTTCTTTTTTTTTGTTTGAATAATAGAGTAATTGTTACTGACAAAATTTTTACTATAACTTATATCGCCACTCATTTTTGAACGATTAAAAAAAATTAAATTCAAGCAATAAATAGTTGGTCAAATGATCATTCTGGAGAGTTAATATTTTTGTAAAATCATTATTTAAGCAATTTTTTGTATTTTAAATATTTTGATGATGCCATGTGTAAGCATCAGTTGATAATATTACTTTGACAGGTTAATAAATCATACCTGATATGAAAAATGATGTTATACGATATTGAATATATCATCTGTTGATGTAGCCAAAAGAATTTAATAATAAAAAGTGCTCCTCAAATGAATCTTTCATCAACAACGGTATTATTTTTGTTTGTATGATCATAATGAACAACTTGCTACTAACCTTTGCATTAAAATCATACTCACTCATTAATCATTTGAAATATTATTCATCAAAAAATTGTATATTGTATCGCTTTTTCCAATAATTATAAATACCACAAGTTTCATCTTCTCACAAAGTTTCCTTAGCATATTAAAAATTTAAGGAACTGAAAGTTTTCCATCGTTTAAATCAAACTACTCCCAAAGTTCTCTCACTGCTTAAAAAATGGTGTTTTCTATTTGTGATATAAGTAAAAAGAAAAAAGAAAAGATTGTGACAAAATATGAACGATTCTTTTGAAATTTTCAATTATTTTATCTTTCAGAAAAATCATTTTGTGATCGTTTGCTGAAATGTTTTAAAAGGAATTTCCATCTTATTGAATTTACCCATTATCATAGTATTTCAATTTCTAACTTGCAAATTTATTGAATAACAATCAACTAATAACATAGTAAACTACAGACATACGGTGTTACAAATTTTGTAAATTTGATTTATGATGAAAATAATTCAACACTTTTTTAAGATTTGCTCCAAACTTGCCCGAATAGAATATCTTAAAACCTCGTATAAATTTAAAGTTTGAAG